GTGCTCCATAGAGCAGCCCATATGTCAAAGTCCCAAGCTTCCCATTCCTTCCATGAGACTAAAACAATATCACCTGAGTCTAGAGAGACCTGAAAGTTTGCTGTGTGCTTCTGCTTTTCTGCAGGATGCTTATATTTGATGGAGCAGGGTTAAAATATCTAACTTGACCAGCAAGGCCATTTGATGCATGATCTATTACAACCTAAGACCAAGCCTATATCGCCCCTGCAAGTTGGAAACTCCATATATCATATTTCACTCATGCATTTGCCTTAAAACCATACAGACTGGGCTTAGTGGTTACTGCATAGTGGCTGCCTCCAACACTCAGATAGACTACATGGTTATTATTTGATAAATCGAAATTCTCTGATAAAAACCTGTTTATCAGGTTGGGCTTTATTTGAGCACAACATTCCCCAAAGTATCATTATTTGGATGCTGAAGCATCTTTCCATCTCCCAGTACTTGTTTTCTCCTGATTTAGATATATTCTCTATTGATTGCCTCAGTAGCCATTGAAATTTATGCTCAGAAGAAATTAAGCATGTAACAGAGAAGCAGTGTATTTGCCTGAATTTATTGACCTCTGTTAATTTAGTTGCACAACCTTCGGGGGAGGTAATAAGCCTCAATGGGCCTCGGTTTGCTTATTTGTAAAATGAAGGTGTGGAATTAGGTGGTTTCTAAGGACTTGACAACCTGTACCTCTCTAATGCAATAGAACATAATAAACATTTGTTTTCTGATCCTACGTTTGTTTGCTGAAACTCAAACTTTAACTTTTGTTGGAAATGGGGAGGAGTTGCTGGTCACTTGCAACCAGATCTATTTATCTATCTATTTGCTTGTTTAATTATAACAATTTTATTTAGATAGATATGTACAATGGAAGCAGAAACACCTAGATGCACTGAGAGGCTGCAGCGGGATGAGGGAGGCACAGAATCTTGCTCTCAAAATCCTTTTCAGGAGCCATGATATCCCTGGCTGAAGCTCATTGGTCTGATTCAAAGTTTGCAGCACAGTAGTCTGGCAGTTGAGGGCAGTGATCCACTCTGGGTCTTACCTGCATGAATAAGCAAGTGTATCTGTGGAAGACAGATCTGGGCTGTTGGTCAGCCGAGATCCTCATTACTGCAGCTGTAGGTAGGGCACATAACAGCTTAATTGGTCTTCTTGGGGAGGCTGGCCTTTGGTTGGCAGGTGCTGCCTTTCCTGGAGACATCTGGGAAGTTATTCACCTCCCCACCACCTGGGGGCAGCCAGTGGCCAGTGACTGACGGATGGAAGTGAGGAATGCCAGTCATCTGTCCTCAAGATGGAATATGTTGTGGTGTAGTTTACACTCGGTGCTTTCCGTGGCATCAGGCTGAGCTGGGCTTCTCCTGAGTCCGCATTCATGCTTACCCTTTCTCCTGCCGTGCCTCTCCCTTCTCGCTTCTAGGCTTTTCCTGAGTGCACTCCTTCAGTGAATCACCTGCAGAAGGTATGCCATCTCAGGCTCTGCTAGGGAACCCAACCTGTGTATTGATTAGTTTTATCTTCTTCATCCATTTGGTAACAGAAGATAGTCTAGGCATGTGGACCTAAGTATGGCTTAGGAAAAAAAATACCTTGAAAAACATCTTTTAAACTTGTGACTTTCAAAATCTGTGTCTTCAAACCGAGACTGATAACAATTTCCAAGGATGACCTTCATAACTCAAATGAGCATCTCTCTGGTTAGAATTCACTACTCTAAGCACAGCTGGTTTGTTCCCCCTGGAGTTTTTTGCCCAAAGAAAGCCCTTGCCAAAGTTTCCCCTCTCCTAGGAGCTGAGCCATCCCCATTCTCCCAGCTGTTACATGCCCCTCAGTTGCTCATATTCTAGCACTCCCTTTTACCAGCACCTGCATTCTCATTTCCTAAGTTTGTTCTCTCTGAAAACTTTCCTTTCCTACCCTTCTACCAGCCTTCACTTTCATTTCCTCCTGAATGTGCATCAGTCTGGCTTCAAGCCACGAAGAGGAGGCTATGCGTTTGATGTTGGCAGTGTCTTGGGCCCATGTGTAAAGTGGGAGGCAGTGAGAGATGTATGGCTGACCGGAGGTGATGCTCCTCATATGTCACAGAAACCATAAGTGATGAGGAGCGTATGAAAGAACTCAGACAGTTCAGCCTGAGAAGCGAAGTGGGTGACTCAAGGGCAGTATGAGAGCTGTTTTAAAACACTTTGAAGGCAATCATTAAGAAGAGGAACGTGGCTTTCTCTGTGTGAAGACAGAGGGCACAGCTAGCACCAATGGGTGGGTAAAAGTTCAGAGAGGTGGATATCAGCAGACTGGAAGTTGTCCTGGGAGTCTAGAGCACGCTGTACCCTGCCATCTGCTCTAGCTGAGGCCAAGCGATTGCTTATTGGCAATGTTGTAGATGTAGATCGATGTCACGTAAAGGGTTGGATTTAATGACCTCTAAAGTTACTTCCAACTCTGAGAGTCTTTGATTTATTTCCTTCCTGAGCAGATAGTTGGGATCAGAGGTGAGGACCATTGACAGACAGCATTGGAAAAAAACTGATAATAGATGCAAGCCAGCACATCCAGACTACAGAACCACCCCATTTCCCAATACTGTGTAGTCTTGAAGTTAAGTGTTTCAGAAGTCAGGAATAAGTGTGGCAGCACACAAGACTTTCTAGAGACAAGAGTGGATATTTCAGCTCATCCAGAGAGAGGAAAGTGTGTGGCTGGTGGAAGCCAAGGATTGAAGGGGCCGTTAAATGACCTGGGTCTCCTAAAAGTGTGTATGCATGGCTCCTCAAGAGGCAGTTCCCAGAGGAATTTGTTATAAATTCTGGGAGCTAGAGCCAACCCTAGAGAGCAATTCTTGGGTTGTGGTTGGGCATGGCTTGGCTCCATGTGGAGGGCTGCAGAGACTGAGAGGTTTATGGACTAGAGATAACTCTGGGTGTGGTAGGGCTAGAGATAGACCCAGCTATAGGAGTTTAGCAGGAACCTAATCTGGCAAGGAGAATGCCCTGCCCAGGAGCACTGATGATAGACAACAAAAGGACATTTGGCAAATGGGGAGCCTGGCAAATGTTGGAAAGATGAAGAGCTCTGGCACCTGAGATAATAACATAATGAGATATTCTAGCCTCATGGTACAATCCTGGAATTTAGTGCCGGACAGGTGTAGGTTCCAGATTTGCATGACCTTGTGCAAATTACTTAACACCTCCAGACTTCAATTTCCTTATTATTATTAAATAATAATAATAATACTGGTACTTCATAGGATTGTTTAAAGCAATTGAGTGAAATAATATAAGTAAAACTTTTAGCATTATCCAAGATGTAGAATTTCAGTTCTTTTATTACTGTTGTTAATTTTATTATTACTAAGATGAGCTGGTGATACAACACGGTGAAAGGAGATCCAGGGGCAAAAGGATTTTTTAGAAATTAATGTTGACAGTGTAATATCGGGAAGTCACAAGAGAGACTGGGGAATGAGGCTGTGACCAAGCCAGGGACTCCTGCCCTGTAATAGCAGCTCCTGCTATTACAGTTGAGCATAAGCTCCTGTAGACACCCAGGTCCCATCAAAAATAAAAGTCCTTTTATTTGTTCATCATTGTGTAGCTTACAAAACCTGTTAATAATGGCTAATGTTTTCTGAGCACATACTGTATCCCAGGCACTGTTCTATGCACTTTTCATGGAATACTTCTTTTGGTCCTCACAAAAGCCATGTGAAATATATAATATTTGACATTTTTTATATGGAAAAAATTGAGGTTTAGAAAAGTGGAAGAATTGGCCTATAGTCACTTATCTTGTAATTGATTGAAGCAGGTTATGAATGAAGTATCTGGGTTTGTATCCTAAATGCTTTCTAAGATGCTATTTGATCCTCACAATAATGCTGAAAGTAGAAAATGTACTGTCTTATTTTGTTTTGTGTTGGTATAACAGAATACCTGAGACTGGGTAATTTAGAAAAAAAACAAAAAGGAAGTTAAGTTAACTGATGATTCTGCAGGCTGGGAAACTCAGCACTGAGCAGCCACATCTGGCAGCTTCTGGAAAGTCAGAAGCCTACTGCGGGCATATGCCCAGATCCCGGAGACATGGTGCTTGTGATAGGCAGACATCATGACTGCAAGATCCTAAACCCATCTTCACCTGCAAAGGCAAAGTTTCATTCACAAGTTCGATGGCCAGTGTTCTGGCTATACTCCCGTGGAAACCAGCTTTCCCAAAGATGCATGACATCAGCCCAGAAACCACCTGAATATTCATCAAAAGAAAAGGTCTGCTGAGGGCCTTGTGCTGCATCAAAACATGGCAGGAGAAATGGAGGGGAACTAGATGCATGCAAAAAAGGCAAAACACAATGGGCAACTTTGCTTTATAACAATCTGCCCTTGTAGTAACTAATTCATTCCTATAAGAAGTAACTCAGTGTAGCAAGAAAGACATTAATTCATCTTAATGATGTAATCAGCCCTTAAAGGGACCATTCCCCAACACCACCACATTCAGGAACAAGCTTCAACATGAGTTTTTGTGGGGTCATACTATATATATTCAAACCATAGCATGTTCCAATATATCAGTTTCACAATTGAACATAGGTAAGGCTCAGAGAAGCTTAGTGACTGGCACGAGGTCACTCAGTTACAAAGTGGCACCATTAGGGATTAGAGTTCATGCCTTCTGATTCCCTTTGGGGTTTCTCTGTAAATACATCATGCTTTTTTTGTGCAGGGCTGAGCTGAATGAAGTCAGGCCAGTCATCAGCAAATCTTTAGGTCTTAGTTCAAAAAAGTCAGTCAGGGCCCAAGGCCTCTCAGTTTATCAATATCCTCCTCTTGGAAGCAGAAGCCTGGCAGTTGCTGGACCTGAAGGAAAGCAGGGATGGTAAGTGGAGAGGATGCTTCTACTTGATGCTGTTGAACTCAGCTTTCCAGGTAGCTGTCTAGCTATTACCTGCATCCCTTGTCCTTGTGCAGGTAAACAGAGAGGAGGTGAAGCAGCCCCAGCTCTGTGTGGCAGAAGGCAAAATGAAGGGTTTGGGGCTGCAAGACAATATTCTAGCTTTCCAAAACAAGGCCTTCCAGCCACGATTCCAGGCTCAGAGGGGAATGAGCAGCACAAATGGCGTCAAAAGACTGATTCTGAGAGATGTCCCAGTTTAGACCTTTTCTTGTGATAAGTATGCAGGTGGCTTCTAGGCTGATGTCATGCATCTTTGGGGAAGTTGGTTTCAGTGGGAGCACAACCAGTACACTATGCATCAACTTTGTGAATAAAACTTTCTCTTTTCTGGGGAAGTTAGGCTTAGGATCCTGCAACCATGGTATCTGCGTATCACAGGAACCATCATCTCTGAGAGCTGGGCATATGATTATGGTACTCCTAACCTTCTAGCTCTGCCAGTCTGCACTAATTTTTAGTTCTCTCTTATCTTACCCTGATTCTGTGCTTGGGAATGTGCAGGCGGAGTGCCAAGCCATTTTACAGCACTTGCTTCAGGAATGTAGAGAACCTGGAAAAGTCTCTTCTTGCCAGGATAACAGTGGACATTTCTCCAAGTTGCCAACTCGTTTTCTCAGGGGTCTCCCATTAGGAAATGAATGTCCCTATCCAGATGTGCATGTGATTCTGCTACACTAGCTCTTTCCACCTTCACTTCTCCATATTAAATCTCACTCTAGGAGGAGGAAATAACTCTATAACAAACAGATATGCGTCAGGAAGCAGGTGGCAAGAGTTCAACATTGAGAGCTTCAACTTCTGCTTCTGAATCAATGACTTGATTTTTGAATGTCCAGCCCAAGTTTGCTGTAATTGACAAATTTGCAAATGTCAGTGGGTAAGAGCTGGAGCTCTGCAGAGAGACTATTGATTCATATACTATCTGAGTGACCTAATGATTATATGCTACAATTATATACAACTTTGATGACCCTGAGTATGTTGTTTAATTAGATTTGGGGAGAATTAAATAATCTGTAAACTATATAGCAGAGTAGGCCTCAACCTATGTGAGTTGTTTTTTTTCTCACCCTTCCCTCTCTTGCCATCCCTGCCTACACACAACTTTTTGGCTTCTAATCCAGCACTATATTTTTTTCTGTCTCTTTCTTTCTGTTCTGTGAACAAGAGGTTTTTCTCCTGGGATACTCTGGGCTGTGTTCCCCACTGGATATAGCAGTTGAGGGGCCTCTCTTGGAGCAGGAGCGATTGGACGGGGGCTCCAGCATGCCCACCATGGTACATAGGTGATTTCAGGTTTCCACTTTTTCTTTGATGTCCCTGAGAGATGCCCATTTCTATTTTGAGTGCAAGAAGGCATTGGAAGTAATAGAATCTTCTAAAGTTTGGGCCAAGATGATTTTCTTGGAATGATTTCCTAGCAGAATACCTTCAATCCCCTGGGCCTGTTAGCTATTTCAGGGACATTTTAAGTGGCTATTAACAAAATGTTGAATTATGGCTGCAAACTCCTGGGAGCTCAAATGACATTCACATGAATCACAGGTGAGCTCTGTGCAGTCAAGGCTGCCACAGTGGGCTGAGATTAAACAAACAGGGGCCATTGTTCTCCCCAGAGCAATGAGGCAAGAACGCCATTTCGTAGAGCCTATGATTTCAGGCAATCTGGCCTTTAGATGCAGGACACTGTTCCAGGACACATAGCTCATTGCTGCAGGGCAGCAGATGCTCTCTGGTTTGCAGAGAGGCATATTTCAGTTTAACGTCTGCAAGAATTTACTCACACTCGGCATGTCCAGGAATCTACCAGCCAATCTCCAGGGTTATGTGTTGCCTGGCACATTGATTCAACAAACATTTACTGGATGTTCCCTATATTCTAGACATTGTGCTGGGCCCAAGAGAAGTGGAAAAGAATAATACCCAGTCTAGGCATTCAAGGAGCTCACAGTCTCGTGAGGAAGCTAGACAGTAAGCAAAAGATTACTTTACACGAAATAACCAGTTTGCCAAAGGTCCAGAGGTAACACAGGGTAGGCTCTGAAAATTTTCCAAAAGGATATGAGAGCTAAGTTTTATTCTTTTTTTTTTTTTTAAAAAAAAAGATGGAAACAACGTCAAGCATATAGATGTTGCAGAACTAGTTTGAAGAATTCCTGTTTATCCCTCACCCCGAAGTTCAATGGTGGTCCACTAAGGTCCTTCTGGGTTACATGAGTCCATCCAGGACCCACTCCTCATGCCCAGTTGTCAAGTTTCCCCTAAATCTGCCTTTATTCTCACACTGTTTGTTTCATCTTGATTTTCATGGCCTTGAATTTTTTTTTTGTCATTCAAGGCCAGTCATTTTGTACAATGATCTTCAATTTTGGTTTGTTCAATGTTTCCCCTTGATGAGACCAGATATGATTTTTTTTTATTTTTTTTTGGCTGGAATTTCACAAAACTGATGCAGAATTCTCATTGCAACCTATCTGGAGGCATGCAATATCTATTTGTCCTAATACTGACAGTGTTAACTTTCATCACTTGATGACGGTGTGTCTTCTGGGTAGATACTTTGAGACTATGTACAATTCCATTCCTTATTACTCCCTCACCCTCTGGTTTTATCATCCATTGATTTTTCTTGCTTGAATTATTACAATGATCCTTGCCAAATGGTGGTTTTCAGATTCCATCATCCTTTCTATATGTATTAGTTGGCTTTCTGAAAGAAGAACCTTTTCTTTTTTCTCTTTATTTATTTATTTACATTGGTGTAGACTCATAGATTTCTACTTTATTCAATGGGTTTTAGTCTGCTAATATTGTTATTTATTCTGAAACTCGAATTTTCCCACATTTGGGAACCCCTTCCAGCACAACTGGGAGTTTTCACAGATGCTGGTGGTTCCAGTACAACACCATACGGTTCATTCTGGCTTTTCCTCTTGTCCATGTTGGTCCCTGCTTTCTCTAGCAGTAGGAAACTTGTGTCCTGTCATCCTCAGGTTATTTACTTACACTGAGTTCTCTGAAATGGCGCCCGCCTTCCTACCCCACTGGGTTTCTGCTCTGCTTGGATGCCCTCCTCTCCTCCTCTCCAGTGCCCTTCTTGTGTGTGTTCTGGCTGCTACCAGCCTGCCTTTCATTCATATTCAAATTTCCCCGATTGTCCCCAAAACATGTTTACAGCTTTCTAACTTTTAAAATTCAGGACCCATTGAAGATACAATCAAGATTCATGTGTTGCCTTTGGTTATTTCGTCTCTTTTAATGAAAAAGCTTACCCCACCCCCCACCCACATCACACACATAGTTCTAAAAATAACTTTGTTGAGATGTAATTCTTATTCCACACAATTCATCCATATCAAGTGTACGATTCAATGGTATTAAATGCATTCAAAGCATTTTAGAACATTTTTATTACCTCAGAAAGAAACTCGGTACCCATTATCAATCACCCTGCTTTCCCAATTTCCATCAATCCCACCCCTCTAGTTCTAGGTAATCATTAACCTATTTTCTATCTCTATAGATTTTCCCATTCTGGACATTTCGTGTAAATGCATTCATATAGTGTGTGGTCTTTTGTGATATATTTCTTTCATTGAGTACAATGTTTTCAAGGTTTAATCATGTTTTATAATACATTAATATTTCATTATTTCATTTCCTTTTATCATCAAATGATATTCTGCTCTATGGATACACCACATTTTATTTATGCATTCACTGTATTTATCCATTTATTTATCCATTTATCAGTTGATGGGCATTTGAGTCATTTCCATTTTTTGGCAATTATAAATAATGCTGCTATTCATACATCTTTTAGTGTTGACTTTTGGAAGAAAAAAAAAACAGTTCTCTTATACAGTGATCCTGAATTATAAATCTATCTGATTATTTCCACGTGGTATCACTTGCTCTTCCCGCTCCTGTATTTTTCGTAAAGTAGAAGTTAGATTTAAAAACGTGGTGAGATTCAGGTCCAAAGTGATAATTTCTTTCACTGGAGATGCTAAGATAATAACTGCTAGGTAGCTCCATTGCCTCATCTCTCATCTGCAAATCATCTCCCATCATCTGTCAGATGATACTATGCCACCTTTAAATATTTTGTTTGCGCTAAGAGTTGAACCTGAATTAGTAATTTCATTAGAGGTTTCAAAATAGTGATTTCCCAATTCTATCATTCTACCTGTATCAGCCGACATTCTATTAGAAGGAAGAAAGTTCACTCATCAACTGGGGATCAACTACAGTTCCTTCTATGTAGGCAAGATAAATGCTTATTCTTATCCTTTAATTACTGGGTTTCAGAGGATAGGGTTGTGTAATAATTTCCAGGCTGGGCTTTGAGGGATGATTAATTCTCAGATGGACAAGGGATAAGATATTCACTAGAGTTGAACAATGACTAAGAGAATAGGTGTAGGTAAAAGGAGAGAGAGAAGGCTGGTAAGACTCCACTCAGCTGTAGTCAAGGCAACCAGACTCCTTCTGGATCCTGTGATATCCCATGGCTCTTCATTTCCCAGATATAGCTCTCTCACTAGTCCAGAGCCTGGGCAGGGCTGGAGAAGAGGTGGCAGGCACTGGGGTTGTTGGAGAAGGGCAGTCACAGCACTGACCACCTGGCAAAAAGCAGCTTAGGAAGTGGCCAGCGTGAGGATCCCAATTATTTAGCCTGCCTCTTCTCATCTTGCCTCTTCTCTGGCACCTCTTCCTAATTGATGCCAATGCTTGTGCTTCCACATGTGGGTCTCCAGGGAATTCATTCAGCAGACCCTCCGAAGTGCGTGGGAGAGGTGGGGGAGCAAAGGAAAACTTCACATGCGGATTTCGTTTAATGAAACTACCTGGATAAATGATGAAGGTAAAACATTTACTGAGCACTGGCTGTGTGCCAGGCAATGTTTAAAGCACTGCATATGTTTTAATGCATTGCATCCTCCCAGTGATGCAATCAGGGAGGTACTTTGACTCTTCTCATTCCGTATTACGGACTGACGTACAAAAGATGAAGGAAGCTGACAAAGTCTCACAGCTCGTGGTCTCATGCACTCCCCTATTCTGCCTTTCTAGGTGGGGTGCATGAAGAAGAGCTTCTGCTGAGAGGGGTTAGTGTCATATTCTTCTGCCCCCGGCTTGTACTTCCCTGGTACAAGCTATAGCTAATCAATAGCTCACTGGCTTTGACCCTAGAGGG